CAAAATTAAAATTAAAATCTGGTGTTTATAAAATATTATTATTTTAAAATAAATGAGATAGACGAGGCATGAGATGAGAAATGCGCACACAAAATTTAGTCGGAAAAATTGCAAATATACTTTTCTTTTATTGAAACTGATTTTGTATTGTGTTGTTTTCCTCATATACGTGTTTTTTTTTTTATGTAACCAGGCTGACTTTTGTTTGTACCTTCGTTCGATGTCTTCAAGATATGAGTTTATGTTTCAGATTTTTTTGTTCCTTCCTGACTGGTTTCGGACTTGGATTCCTCGCCTTCGGTCTGAAGAAACTTCTCTTGCCGATTTTCCTTGGAGCGCAGATAGTGAAGTCGGTGCTGATAGCAATGTTTCTGCCTAGTATTCTCGGAGGACTTGGAAAACTGGTGGGGAAAGGAGTTTCTACATTCGCCTCAGCATCTGGTTCCTCTGGTCCTTCAAACAATAATGTAGACGATTTTGAATTCAAAGACAACATGGGATTCGACTCCGGAGATACAGCCACGGCTGCTTCTAAATACTCTTCAGCGTTCACTTACCCGGAAACGAACGGCGGTCTGGCCTACGTGAACGGGTTATCAGCAGGTACTCTACCGGCTTCGGCGTTATACGTACCTGGTACGGCCGCAGGCCTCGGATCCATCAACAGGTAAGCCTCAAGATATAACAGAAAATGACGTCAGACCCTTGTCTATCAATTTCAGTCCCTGAAGCAAAATGTACACATTACTGTCTTCATAGCGGAAGGTTCACGGTTACTGTGCCGGCAAAAGGGTGACCTGCTTTCAAGAAACGTACTCACAAAATTCCACTTCATGGTGCTACAACCCAGAAGACAGCCATTTCTGTTCTGCTGTTACTTTGTCCAACCCGTTGAAATGACAATTTATTTAGAGGCATCGCCTCGTCTTATTTAATGTGATATAACCGCCACGGTGATCTAGCGGTTAGAACGCTGGCCTTGTAATCCTGGGGGTCTCGGGTTCGATTCCCGGCGGTGCCCGAATTTAAAACTTGTGTTGGGCAAGGCCGTGGTCTAGGCAACACGGAGTTTTCCTCCGGGGCATCCCAACAATTACTCCATTCGCACACAGAAGAAGGCAATGGCAAACCACTTCTGGATCATCTCCCAAGAACGTATATGAACAGGTCCCAGTCCGAGAAAAGGATGGAAGGATTCTGTTCATATGGACCTGTCGTCAGACAGAACACTAAATAAATATAATAAAATATAAATAAGCTATTTAATGACAACATAAAATAACATAACAATTCAATTAAATATCTGTGTGAACTATTCGCAGATTCCAACAGCAAGGTACAGGGAACTCCAAAGTTAGCTATGAGTCGCTTCCTATTGGAGCCCAGCATCACTATGGGAGCTATTACACGCGTCACCAGCAACCCAACAAGAAGCAGGACTACAAGGTGTTCCACAACATTCCTTCATCATCGCTTCTACTAACAAACTATGACCCTTTCTACAGTCCGCTGCTGTCGAGACTAGACAGCGTGTTCAAGCAGTTGGGGTACGAAACAGAGACGTGCAGAGAGCGTCTCATTTGTGCAATGTACAACAACCCGGCTAAATTCGCGCCGTACAGCAATCTCGTTTCTGCGCAGCTCAGCAGGTGAGGTTTGCCTTTAGTGTTTGTTCTAAACAAA